AAAAGAACCTTGTTTCTTTTCACCGACAAAAATAGATAACAACAACTCAAGTATGTGCATCACAAGCAATCAACAACAAACATTCAATATAGATTCTACACCGGCCCACAAAATCCCTCTAAGCAAAACAAGCCCTTTCTAACTCTTCAATTTAGGGTTCACTCTCTTCCCCTAATCCACACCGGAAGAACGAGCAGGACTTACAGCAGTACGCCTACCCGCCCTCCAACATGGATATGACCTATCAAACTAACTATGTACCTGTACCTTCTACATCAGGTCCTTGATTCCCCTATCTATCGTAGCATGACCTAACGGTAGTATAAGCCTTATCCAATTAACCCACACGAACATGTACAACCCATCGTAAAGCTGGTCAAATCCTCTTAGAGATTTACTTTCCACTTCATGGGGATGAGTCGTTAATCCACCACCCATTGCTCCAAACAGCAGATACGATGAAGCCCGTGATGCTGACTTATTAACAGAAGTTCTTGACCCATAGATAATATGCAAGGGTGGGATCTCCGATTTTGACGTTTCCTCGTCTCCCGAAGTCTCTAGGTGGCATAACATAGGAACAATATTCAACTCTCTGTCTCCTGGTACAGAGGTTTGGTCAACAATCGTCATCGTCGACAACTCATCTGTCACATCAGTGACATCCAGATAATTGTCATTGTCATCATGATTCCGTTCTGTCAGACAAGTCGCGTCGTTTCTGTCTACACTAGCATCCGTAGAGTGAAACTCTTACTTTGTTGTATAACTCATCCCGCTATATGAAAGAACAGCATTAGTGTCACAATTCGAAACCGATGAACTCACTTGTTGTTCTTCATGTTCCGTTTCAGAGACACAAGACATATGCACTTCAATAGCATCGTTATCATGCAACATTGTAGACTGGCTGTTACCATCAGACGCTTTCTTCTCATTTCTAATATAGTGTAAGACAGTCATGAAATCCGTCCAAAACACAACTTCTGCAAACTTGATATCTAACTCGGACTGCAGCTGGGACCCCATACGCGCTGCTAACACTGCTGCCGTAAGTTCCAAGCGGGGTATAGTTTGAATCTTTAAAGGGGTTACTCTTGCCTTAGCCGTAATAAGACGAGAACATATTTCAGTGTCATCGATGTAAGAACGGATGTATGCCACTGCCCCATATCCAATTTCCGAGGCGTCACAGAAAATATGAAGTTCCAGGAGCGAGCGATCTGATTGTGGGAATAATACACAGCGTGGAAAACTAACGTTCTCAACCCTCTGAAATCCACTTAAAATCTCTAACCAGCGTTTGCCTTCCTCACTTGGAATCTCTTCGTCCCATCCTAGTCCCAATTTACTCAAACGTTGAAGTAACTGCTTCATAGGAAGTGTGAATGGTGCTAACAATCCCAAGGGGTCGTATAATGAAGCTACACTCGACAATATACCTCGCCTAGTGAGAGGGCATTTCGGTATGCGAACTTTAAATTCAAACGCATCAACCATAGTATTCCAAAATAATCCCAATGTGCGTTCCGTAGGAAGTCTCTCAAAGTCAATCTCTTTTACGGCTTCTGCTCTCTCTTCTGGATGAATTGATTCGAGAACCTGTAAGCAGTTACTTATCCACTTGGTAAGTCTGAACCCACCTTTTCTGAGTAGTAAACCAAGGGTTTTTGCAAGCTCGATTGCATCCTGCACATTATCAATTGAAGTTAAATAGTCGTCGACATAGAAACTCTTATCTACAACTTCCTGGACATCTTTATTCAATTCCTTTCCGAATATATCTACCGTCTTCCGAAGAGCGAAATTAGCGCAAAAGGGAGAGGACACGGCTCCAAACGGATGAACTGTCAAACAATATTCTTTAGCCTTTCGTCCTATATCACCGTCTTCCCACCATAATAGTCGAAACGCTCCCCTATCTCGTCTCGGGATCTTTACTTGAAGGAACATCTCCTCGATGTCAGCGGCTAATGCTACGTTGCATAATCTGAATCGTAGAAGTATACCAATTAAACTATTTACAGTATTTGGTCCTCTCAAAAGCTGATCGTTAAGAGAACAACCTTGATAGACAGCTGCACAATCAAAAACAATTCTTAATTTTCCAGGCTTTTTAGGGTTGATAACAGGATGATGAGGAATATACCAACAAACAGCATCACGGTCGAATTCCTCCTTACTAGCTTCAATGATGTAGCCATTACTTAAATGTTTACTCATTACAAGTTGATATTTCTCCAGAAGACTATTATCCTTCATAAACCTCTTCCTTAAACACTCTAGTCTACGTTCAGCTAGTTCCAAATTATTCGGTAGCCTTGGCTTATCATACTTCCAGGGTAGACCAACTTGGAAATGGCCACCTTCCAGTCTAAAGGAACTATTAACTATTTCTAGAGCTCTTTTATCTTCGACAGAATATTCATTACGAAACCCATCTGCATCCTCGAACTCATGATTATATAATCTTTCTATATCTCGCAAAATATCATTAGTAGAACAATGACACCACTGAACTTGATGTAAAGACCTCGATGCTTCTTTAGGACCTAAAATCATCCAACCGAGATGAGTACGCACACCAAACGGATGCTTCCTGTCTCCCAGGCGTTGTTCAAGGACCCAATGTGCATCTGGAGCATCACACCCAATCAATATTCCTACTAGATTACTTTGCAGCCTCGGTAGAGTTATGTCCTTTAAATGTTTCCACCTTCTCAGCTGGAGTTCGGTTAAAGGTTCTGCATAATCGATCGGAAGTTTCTTGATCGTATAGGCCTTGTTGATCTTTATAGAACCCCGCTCATCTAATGAAAATACCTCTAAATTTACTTCCAGACATTCACAAGTAGAAGTTCCATTCACAGTCGTCACCTTTATTGAAGTCTCCTTACCTTTGAGACCTAACCGATTAACTAACTCTTCGCATACAATAGAGGTATCTGAACCATTATCTAGAAGAGCGTATGTTTCCAGACATCCTTTGGGGCCATATAGTCTAACCGGAACGATACCCAAACAAACCTTTGGGAATTTCCAATCCTTAGCAAAGTTCACTACATGTTTGTTAGTAGCATCAATATGTAATAATGGATTATGCCGAATCTTACAATTATCAACGTCACACCTTGTGTCCGAGTTACACGACTTGGCTATGTGACCCTTCCTTAAACACAGGTAGCATAGACCACGCTTTCTCACTTCCTGCCTCCTCTCTGTAACATTCATTTTTGATAACTTCATACAGTCTTTCTCATTGTGATCACCAAAACAAATTTCGCAACTTAAAGCCTTGAATGAGTTGCTTGGTTCCCGCTTAACTACATTAAAGCGTGATCTCCTGTCAACTTGGCCTTCATAATTACCTTTACGGAACTTTGAGTTACAATGTACCAATCTACCAAAACGTGATCGCGCAATCCTGGCTCTTTCTTCTACAAACATCACTAATTCTTCAAATATCGGCTCTCTACCGGTCATCATGATCCTATCAGCAGCTTCCACCCATTTATTCTGTAATTCCAGGGGTAAACGTGACACAATTATTTCCAGATTAGCCGTAGAATTCACATCAGACATATACCCCATTTCCTTCAATGTTATACATACATTACGTAACTTAATTGCGAAGTCAGTTAGGCCATCGGCGGATCCTTCAACAGATTTGTGGCTAAGTAATTCGGTAATAAGATTACGGGCGACAAGATGTTCTTTACCAAATAGATCATACAAAATTTGCTTAGCTCTATCGTAACCCAAGTGACTGGGCAAGGAAATACAAGCTTCAATAGCCATTCTGGCCTTTCCTTTACAATAGTATGACAAATATGACAACAACTGGCCCTTGTCAGACAGTTTACTCTCTATAATGCTTGTAAACTGACTAATAAAACGGTGGTACTGGCTTGGTTGTCCGTCAAAAAACATCATATCGATCTTAGGCAAAACTGTATTATTAACCGTAGCACGTAACGTGTCCTTTAATTCATCAATACAATCGCATTTTGAGGTGTTAATTACCTTATTACGCGCAATATCACAATCCAAGTACCTTTCCACCTTAGAATTTATCTCAGCTTTGTCTACTGACAGTTGGTTATCGTTTTCTATGAGCTTACATTCTAATTCAGCCATATCAACTTCCTCTTGAAGCTCTAACATTTTAAGCTGCTTTTCTAACTCAAGTCTCCTTTCCAAATTCTTCTTCTTAATTAATGCCTTATCTAACTTCAATCTAGAAGTACTAAACTGAGATGAAGACTTACTATTAACACTAATATCATCACGTTTATCATCATTAAAATCAGACATACCACAGACAGCTTTAGAATCTTTACCATCCATTTCGTCATTTTCCTTCGCTTTTTGCTTCTGGTTTCCATTGTATGCCTGTGTTCGAAAATCGGTTACAAAGCAAACGTGAATTAATGGGAACGAATTCGATCAATAAGATCAAAACTTGGACCCAAAATGTCATACGTATCCATATATGACAACAGAATTAAAACTGAAGAACTTTTGTTACGTCCAATTTTCGCTCCTTCCGTTATTGAAGTACAGTATGTCGATCTATTTGCAATTCACGAACCCGTTACCTCAGTCACACCCCACAACCCGAGGTAGAAGAAAATTGGTTTGGCACCTCACTGAACGCTTACTGAATGCGAATAGGAGAGCCTGGCACAAGTGGAAGGTCTCTTTGAAGTATTCCGATCGTAGTTCTTACTTGACGTTTATAAACAGATGCAAAACCAAAGGCATTATATTTTTTTCGGGTACTTCAAGCTTCTCATTTGAACTGAAGTTTGTCATGCCCTTTAACAACGGCTCATGAATAAGAATCGAGAGCAAAGAAATCAATTGGTTTACACTAGCTCGTGAAAACATATTGGATATTGGAGGTGGAAATTGGATATTGTATCCGCGGGTAGAGTGTTTGACCTTGTGGTTTCGGTCGACTTGCCTGGAAATTTCGATATAGTCAACGAGTCAACGTGATGTCAGATGTTCCCTCTACTCCTCAGCCAAAGTCCAAGCAGACGTCTCCAGAGGAAGCATGTGAATCCTCAGGTGCGGCTTTTCTGGCTGACATTACAGCAGGTCAACCTCCAGACTCTGAAAAGAAGCACAGGAGTGCTACATTAGTATCAAACCCAACAGGTTAGCTCACTACCTCTCTTTTGTGTTTTACTATCGTCCTCTTTATACTCGTCTGATGTAATCTGCGAAAGGTATACGGAATTGTGCTAAACACTAAGAGTGGTCACTACTTTCAACGTAGTGGCTTATATAAAACAGTAGTGGTATCTACCTTGCTATTCTACACATTCGAAATATGAAATCGATTCTAGATGTCCACAACATAAGTCTTTAAAATGTGATCTGAAATATGATTTTAGGTTTCTGGATGTAATGTTCTGCGACTTTATAGGTTGTACAGTGGCTACATAAGTAGTTAAAGAGAATTTGTCTAATATATAGCTGAGCAGTAGTTAAACAATCGTCTGCATATCCTCAGTTGCCGTTTGCCTCGAATAGTGGTATACTGGTGAGAGGCAGTGAAATAAAAAAGTTATTGGCAGTTGATCTGAGCCTCGGTGATAGATGCAGATAACCTGCGTATGGTTTGTGTGATAATGGCAATCGATGATTGGGTGTGTGAGATGATGCAGATCAGAATGGTCCACAATAGCGTGTGTTCATTCATTTTCCATCTTCTCAATCATAAATTCCAGTACTATTCCTTCATAATCACCTTATTTTATCTTCTCTAATCATATCCTCGAAATTTCAGTGTTTCGTATTATTATTATTATTATTATTACCATTATTATTACCACCTTATTTCGGTTTCTTGCGCTGTTTGATTTGTTAATTTCAATAATTCATGCAGATGTGGTGTGACAATCTGAGGTAAGCCATATATTTATCAGGCTCTAGTTCGTGACTGGTTAAAGATAGTAAAGGTTACTTTAAAAGTTTCGGTATGAATAAGTGTTTTAAAAAAATTTCATCTGATATACAGTGTTGCAGATTCATTCATCATTAATTTTCGTGTAAACCGTGAGCCTCATTTTACTCTACACACCTCACCAGTTTCATCCGCGTTGTATAAAATGTGATTTGTCATTTCAAACGTCTTTGATAATTGACTGACTAACCAACATCAAAGATGATAAATAAGCAGTTAGGAAATTTGATGTCATTTCGTAACTATCTATTTTTTACTAGTTAATTCTTCGTGGTAATAGTTTGATTATAAATTAAACACGTTTTAGTAGTTTTCATATCTTAAATCCACAGAGGTTTAAAGTCTGCTCAATAGTATTGTTTGCTCTCACTGAAGAAGTATGATTCTCAGCATGATGCACTTGTCTCTCATATGTCGGATCATCAAAAAGATGAAGGAGAATGAAATGCCAAAATAAATAAATATGATTGAAGAATAAAAAGTTGGAAACAGCACTCAACTCAAGATTTTTATCAAGTCAGAGGGGATGAAATGCAACTAAGTTTGCACTGTGTATACTTTTATAACATAATTTGTCCTGTCAACTAATGGATTTCATAAACTGATGTTTTGCTTCAATCTATACGCCTCTTGATCTGTTGCTACATTCCACTAATATCCGTCTACCAACCGAACGACGGGTTTACTGCACAGCAGGTCGCTCCGTCCTACATAATGGCTATGAAACACGGCCAATAGGAGTAGAAGGTATTCGTAGGTTACTGGTTTTCGATCAAAGGTATCTTCGAAGCATCACTCGTGTATCATGGCACAAACGAGTGAGCAATGGTGTTGTCAGGGAATGAGTAGTAGGTAAGGAATGCAGATAAAGTGATGAAGTTGTGAAACTTCACCAGTTGGGGTGTTAGGACATGTGTTACGTGTGCCTGACCACCGACTGTCTCGACGAGCTACGTTTTGTGGTGTAAAGAAAGGTTGGAAGAAAGCTAAGGGCGTCCAAATAACAACATGGCACAAATCCATGGAGTCATCGACAACTAGACCAAGATATGGTGGTAGGTGTAGACTACTTGGTTGTGGTCGGTGAGATGAAAGTCACTGATGGTTAGAGACTTTGAATAACGTGACTCGAAGTCGTTCACAATGGCGCAGGTGCGTCCACTCTTTGTGTTCTCTGAAGTTCTAATCTTCCGAATTCTTCATCTTTTTATCTTTTCTTTTTGATGTCATTTCACTGGATTGTACTTCTCAAATAATATCTTCGTCCACTAATCTTTTTCGTTATCGCTTATACTTTACTACATCTACCACTATGTGATTTGGATTGACAATTGCATCTCTGTGGTAATGTGATATGGCAACGTGAACTGGTGTGCGTACATACAAAGTTCCACCTTGTAACTGACTGACTGACTATGGTTGATTATATTGTGGTTACTAGTCTTTTTTATTTCGTACATATTCATGAAGGAGCCGTCAAGTCCCTTTGTTTACCATTCAGTTTTATTTCTTCCAAGTTATGGTTCTTTAACAAAACAAATTTTTCATCCAAAAATAAACTGAAATATTTTCTTACAATGAAAATACACAGGAGAAAAACTAGTAAGCCTGAAACGTAATTTCAAATTGCTAGAGCTTCCAGTCTTTGAACCCTGTGTCACTTAATAGCAATCGATCGTCTTACTTCATCTTGAACTGTTTCAAGCTGAACATATGAATCATTCGATTTGAAGTTAGTAAGTCAGTCAGTCTGGATAGGTAACACTCCTGCTATAAGATCTGAAAGTCTTGAGTCCGACACTCGGTGTTGATTTAGGTGCACACTGATTAGCCTTTGATATTCTCATAAAAAATTGTAATAATTTGGGTTCAGTCATGTCGGATGTGAAGAAGTCAACCATTAGTGGTGATATTGGGAGACGGTGACGCAATATCGCAAGCTCATTGATACTAGCTAGACACGAACCATTCGATGGCGTTTCAGTGTTTTAAACGTTTAACGTTTTGATTCCATTTCTGATCATGTATCAACACTATTGAAGAGTCCTACACTTAGATCAAACCTATGTTTATTGATTCATTGATTTCAATGGTTATCTAGCGAAAGTCAATCGATGTATAATTACTGACCTAAACTTTATGCTCATACTAATGAAATGTGTTTTCGAACGATGATACTGATCTAAAGATTCAAGCCGAAACAACAAACCTCACTCGTCATTTATTGCTGTTAGTTATTCTAAGTAAGTTACTACACCAGTCAGTCAACCAGTGTACATTAATTTTATAGGTATCAGAATAAGGAATTAATGAAACACCACATCTTCATTCTCACTCAGTATTCAATATCAACTGCAGAATTTATAACACACTAGTCACAATAATGTTTTGTGATGTAGATTTGAAATGAATAAAATAATTACTAAGAATTATGAAGAGATATGAGTCACTATCATATAAATTAAAGTCTTAATGAAATAATTATTCAATAAAATAATATGTGGATCATTTTCTGTTTCGTGTCTATTTAGCGAGTTTGGTTTTTGAGGGATGTGGTCGCTAACCATATGTCCAAGCCTCCTTTGTTAGACAGGCTTCGGATCGGCAACAACCTCAGAAGGGCTCCAGTCGGAGTTCTTCTATATGGAGTGGGAAATCGGAGAACCGCGAAAGTCAACATCTACAAGACAGGTGTTTAACAACAATTTTCTGCTCAAGATACTTCTCATCCGTTGGTCAGAAATCATTAGCAACAAACTGCTGTAGGAGAGAACAAACCAGGTTACAACTGAAGAAGAACAGTGAAACTAGACGAACAAATTGTTCTGAAAGAAATGTTGATTTATGAAGAGGAGTTGTTGCTGTCATTGTTGTTGATAATCGGTCAGAAATAAGAAGTGATGACCATCAACTGGACAAACGACCTGCTGGATTCACTTTCTAATCATATTATGCCTTACGTCCGCTGCAATATTATCAGTAATTTTAAGCGATATTGAATCGGGAGATAACATACACACACAGAAGAACGAAACAATCAGAATGAGAAAGTGTGATAAATGGTTAATGTGTAGTTGTTGTTTTTCATGAATTGTTTTTTTAAGTAAGATGTAAAAAGGAAAAAGTGCTAGAGGTGAATAAGACACACGTTATGAAAATCATCCAACTGGGTCCGTCACAAAACAAGGCTTAACTTGGAATCCTCAAGGCCAAAGGAAAAGAGGAAGGTCAAAGAACAAATCACGCCGAGGATCGGAAGCAGACATGAAAAGGATGAACAGCAATTGGGTAGAACTGCAAAAGCAAAACCCAGGACACAGAAGGTTGAACAATGCCAGTCGGTGACCTATACTGTACGAGAGGTAACGAGTGTAAGAAAGCAATATGTGGATGGTACACTGAAGAAGGAAATACAATTTTATTTTTAAAAATACCTGGTGAACAATTGGATGGTTGTTGCTCATCAGCATCTTCCTTTTTAATCATCTTCTCGTCACCAGAGGAGGAAGACATTTCAGGCTTTTGTGTCTGGTGACATTCGAATGAAGGTGCTTTCTGACGCAATTTCAATGCTTTGCCCTGAATACTGAAGTCTGATGATGACTGATTCTTTTCCAGATTGGACTTAGGAACGTCTTGTTGTGCAAGAAATGTTGTTTTACGAAGAGTTGTTGCTGCTATTGTTGCTGATAATGTGATTCCAAAGTTGATTCAGTAGGTCGTTTATCCATTTGATGGTCATCACTCCTTATTTCTCACCGATTATCAATAACAATAACAGCAACAACTCTTCGTAAAACAACATTTCTTGCACAACAAGACGTTCCTAAGTCCAATCTGGAAAAGAATCAGTCATCATCAGACTTCAGTATTCAGGGCAAAGCATTGAAATCGCATCAGAAAGCACCTTCATTCGAATGTCACCAGACACAAAAGCCTGAAATGTCTTCCTCCTCTGGTGACGAGATGATTAAAAAGGAAGATGCTGATGAGCAACAACCATCCAATTGTTCACCAGGTATTTTTAAAAATAAAATTGTATTTCCTTCTTCAGTGTACCATCCACATATTGCTTTCTTACACTCGTTACCTCTCGTACAGTATAGGTCACCGACTGGCATTGTTCAACCTTCTGTGTCCTGGGTTTTGCTTTTGCTGTTCATCCTTTTCATGTCTGCTTCCGATCCTCGGCGTGATTTGTTCTTTGACCTTCCTCTTTTCCTTTGGCCTTGAGGATTCCAAGTTAAGCCTTGTTTTGTGACGGACCCAGTTGGATGATTTTCATAACGTGTGTCTTATTCACCTCTAGCACTTTTTCCTTTTTACATCTTACTTAAAAAAACAATTCATGAAAAACAACAACTACACATTAACCATTTATCACACTTTCTCATTCTGATTGTTTCGTTCTTCTGTGTGTGTATGTTATCTCCCGATTCAATATCGCTTAAAATTACTGATAATATTGCAGCGGACGTAAGGCATAATATGATTAGAAAGTGAATCCAGCAGGTCGTTTGTCCAGTTGATGGTCATCACTTCTTATTTCTGACCGATTATCAACAACAATGACAGCAACAACTCCTCTTCATAAATCAACATTTCTTTCAGAACAATTTATTCGTCCAGTTTCACTATTCTCTGTGAATATTCGTCGACATAAAATGGGATCATCAAATATTTATAAACAAGAAGATCGTTCTTATTTAATATGAATATTAGTGGACAGAAATTTTGGTGCTTACTATTAATTTTCAGTGTAGTTTTCATATCAAACGCAATTAGTGTATTTTTCATATACTAGTTATAATAATGAATAACACTCATTTTGATTTAATATCTGAGTACGTGTGCATGTATGCACTGCAATGTTAACTTATTCATTGCTTTACTTCACACTTATTTTGGATTAATTTTTTCTGAGAAATTTGTTTTTACTGTTTATTTGTTGACAAAGTTTTTTACTGTTTTGTGGCCAGAACACTTCTTAAAGTTAATCTTTTTGATATGTTTTTTTATTTTGATATTTATTATTCCTCATCTATATTACTAGTTTATTATTGTTCACAGTCATTCCTCATTCACAACCACTTTTGGCTTGTTCATGTCAAAATTTATTTTCCTTGTTTATGGTTTGATGTTCTTGTCTGGTGTGCTTGAAAAATATGGTGGGTGATTAGTGGATGAGAGCAGGGTAGAGATAGAAATACGTTATTGCGTTGTAGACCAACAAGGATTAATCACAGGCTCAAGGTTACTGATGCTGGGGTGTAATTTTAATTGGTTTTTCGTACCTTTCATGTGATATTCGTCAACGGTTAGGGATACAACAGTTGGTCAGTAGGATGTTGCATTGGTGGACTGGAATTTTCTATTAATAATTCAACAAATAAATCATCATCGGGATCGTTAAGATTTATCATTATTAGGTAGGGTGTCGATAAGATTACTAGTAATTTGAATAGTCACTTCATTTAAGTAGAAATTTTATACGTTGGTCATTATAAAGAAAACATTCGTTAATATAGAACAAATCTTTGATAAAGAAGAAAAAACAAGAAATGACTTTCTTATTCTGCTTTATTCTACATTGGATATAGTTAGTGTCATCCATCACATTGAAATCAATTTAGCTACATCTATCGCAATGAGATTTGAACTGACAATTGGATCTCTCTGTGTGCTAATGTGGTATGCCAACTGGAACTGATGTATGCACAAAGTTCTGCGTCGTATTTGGCTTGCTGAAATAAATTTATTCGTGTGTGTAAACCATATGAATCAATCTATTTCCGCATCGACAGAACAAGATTAAAAGATGAACAAGTCAGAATAAATTGGTTCACAATAGATGAGGGGAAAGAGTAAACATTGAGTAGATGATAGTACTAGAATACAATGAGAAATCATTCTCTCACCACCAGTCAGATAGATGATAGTTTATACACATACTACCAACTAATAAACTGATCAGAATGATACTTGACCCGATTTGAATGAGTCCATTGTTTCCTAGTGGGGTGACAATTTCTCCACAGAACATCCAGGGGAGATAGAAATTATGGAATTTCAAGAAAATGAGAGTAAACTTTCACTACAAGTCTCAACCGATTCAATATGAGAAGAATTAGTCCTTTGTGTCTTCTAATTTGTACAATTCTGTTTCATTCAATATGTCATGTGAATAAGTTGGGATAGAACGTGAACAACAATTGATGCATAATAGTAGTACCAGTTTTGGATGTAAGTTATTCTGACTAAGTTGAATTTTCTCTACGTATAAGAACATATGAAACTGTACGTCTTTTTCAAAAAAAATCCATCTGATAATGGTAAAATATATAAACCAAATATTTTAAATTATTTACTGATAGTTTGACTTCAAGTAGAAATATTTTTGACTGAATCAAACCACTTATTGACCACATACTCCACGAATATATTTCATTGATTCATACTTCTATTAATTGTTTTTAGAATGCATTTTTAATGAAAGTAAATATGAAAAAGACTAATTTCTGATTCAAGAATGTGTTTTGTAACAACAGTGACTCTCTTACAGGTTTGTGTTTGAATGATCTTTTTACAATCACTCTCACTATTTGAGTACAACAATTTTTGCAATAGAAGCATTGATTGATCATATGCAAGATAAAAAGAACCAAATTAGCGATCGATAAAAATTGTATGACAGTGATTTGTGCAGGATTTTAATTTGTCCTACAGATATACTACTAGAATCGTAAACGCGATACTGGCGAGCACAGAGTCTATGTGAAATCTATGGTCAGAATAAGGACAACTTGGCTTTAAACTTTATCTGTTTCTAAACGTAAAACAATTAGATTGGTACAATAATCAAGGAAATTACAGCTATTAACTGAAACGAACAGGCACACGGTTAGTCATTCTGTTGCTTGATCGTATAAAATTAGTTAACACGACTAATAACTTTCCGCAAATTATGTTAACCCTGGTTCCCGCTAAAATTTATTGGTTCTAATAGCCAATGCTTCTGAAATAAATAATGTGAAATCAAATGTCTGAAAAAATTAGTACTAAACAATTTCAAGGCTTTGAAAGAAATATTTTTGTGTATGCTTCTGAGATTTTTCTCAGTCACCACGGATAATGCCAACTCAAAACCCTTAATTTATAAAATGAAACTCAACTGTGGTCATAGGATAAATACAAACATTTTAAACCATAGCGTAAACGAGAAATCCGTTTGCTAACCAAGGAACGAGTCTACTGCATAGCAGTTCGCTCCGTCTTACTATGTAGCATTGAAACATGGCCTATAACAATAGAGAACATTCATCGGTTACTCGTATCCGATCATAGGTGTCTTCGAAGCACTGCTCGTATATCCTGAGACCATCGAGTAAGCAATGATGTTGTTAGGAAACGGGTACTAGGTAAGGATGGCAAGGGAATCGATGAAGTGGTGAATCTTTATCAGTTGAGTTGTTTGGGAAATGTGTTACGAATGCCCAACCACCGACTGCCTCATCAACCTATGTCTTGCGTAGTAGCAGTAGGTTGGAAGAAAGCTAGGGGCAGCCAAACCAAAACATTGACTAAATTGATCAGGTCACGGACAATCGGACTAAACCAGGTTAGTATTTGTAAACTACCTGATTGCAGTCCTTGAGACAATGGTAACCGATAGTTCGAGACTAAATGACATGGCCCAGAGTCGCTCTCAATGATGCAGATGCATCCATTCTTTGTCTTCTCTCAAATTCTAGTCTTCGGAAATCCTCAAGACCATTTTTCGTTTTTCCAATTAATTTGACTGAGATATAATTGTAGAAACCTATTTTGGATCCTTAGTCTTTTCAATTAGCCCTAATAATTCTACTGCCTTTAGTACTATGCGATTCTGATTGATCTTTCTAAAGTGTTATGGCAACTTCAGGTGATATATATACGTTCTAGGCTTTATTTTATAACTGACTGAAGTGTTAGCCAGTATAGGATTTTGAAGTTTTCTCTGTGTTTTACAAAACCTTTATATCATCGAAAGTTATGCTTAGTTTGGTAATTAAATTAAATCTGTGGTGTATTTTCCTAATGTATCACTTGAATTATGAAATCCAATTCAATTTTTTTTCTAATATTCTTGTTTACAAATTATGTAGTTATGACGAATAGATTTCTTTAAAATTTAAACACTTCAAGAATAGTTCATTTGTATGTAACATTGTTGACTTTGCGAATTGACAGTGTTTTATTTTTGCCAGTTGTATCAAGAAACTCCGCCAGTAAAAACTTTCGGTACTACTGCCGGTCTCGAGCCCGGACAAACGAGGAGTGTTGGGCATGGAGTTGGCGACCCCATCCCATCAAAAACTAACTTGCCATAAAAACCCTAACCAGAAGAAATAAGTCAAACAATTTTAACTCTGCTTTGGGACTCGGAAGTAGAATTATGACGTCGCGTGATAAAAGCCGAGTTCCTTCGGAAGTCACGAGGCCGATGCAACTTCTGACAACCAGACCAACCATTCTTTTAGGGACATGGAATGTTCTTACATTGTGAGAGTCCGAAAGACTGTTTCAAGTTGCTGCGGAAATGAAAAGATACAACCTGGAGGTGCTTTAAATCAGTGGAACACACTGGACGCAGGTAGGACAACTGAGACTAGCTTCAGGGGAACTGCTGTTATACTCTGGTCACGAACAGGGAAATGCTTCACATACACAAGGAGTTACACTGATGCTGTCCAAACATGCACAAAAGGCACTGATAGGATAGGAATCTCATGGACCCAGGATAATTGAAGCATCCTTCAAAACAAGGAGAGAGGACATTACAGTGTACCTCATCCAATGCTGTGCTACTACCGATGACTACAATGATGACGTTAAAGATCAATTCTACGAAAGGCTGCAGTCAATCGTCGAAAGATGCTCATCAAAGGATTTGACCATTCTGGTGGCATACCTAGATGCCAAGGTTGGCATAGGCAACACTGGATATGAAGACATCATGGGACGACATGGACTGGGAGAAAGGAACGAAAACGGTGAGAGATTCGCAAACCTATGTGCCTTCAACAAACTGGTCATCGGTGGCACAATATTCCCGCACAAACGCATTCACAAAGCCACATGGATTTCACCGGACCACACTACTCACAACCAAATTGACCATATCTGTATCAACAAAAAGTTCAGAAGGACCATGGAGGATGTGAGAACCAAGAGAGGAGCTGACATAGCATTAGATCACCACTTGCTGGTCACTAAAATGAAACTGAAACTCAAGAAACACTGGATAATGGGGCAGACAACATCACGGAAGTTTAATACAGCCTTTCTTCGGGATACCGTAAAACTCAACGAATTCAAGATAGCCCTCACCAATAGGTTCCAGGCCTTGCAGGATCTACTCAATGGAGAGGAAGCAACATTGGAGAACAATTGGAAAGGGATCAAGGAGGCAATCACTTCAACATGTCACGAAGTTCTGGGTCACAAGAAGTACCATCACAAGGAATGGATCTCTGTTGGTACTCTTGCAAAAATTGAAGAAAGGAGGAACAAGAAGGCAGCAATCAATGTCAGTCGAACAAGAGCAGAGAAAGTTAAAGCGCATGCTGCACACACAGAAGCAAACAGGGAAGTGAAGAAGAGCATCAGAGCTGACAAACGAAAATATGTGGCAAGGAAGGCAAAGTAATCAGCGACACTGAAAAACAGTGAAATAGGTGGGTAGAGGACTTTCAGGAACTCTTGAATCGACCAGCTCCACTGAACCGACCCAACATCGACGCAGCATCCACGGACCTCCCAATCAATATTTGCGCACCTACAATAGAACAGATCAGAATGGCCATCAAACAAATCAAGAGCGGCAAAGCAGCAGGATCAGACAACATTTCAGCAGAGGCAATGAAAGCAGATGTGGAAGCAACTGCGAAAATATTTCACAACCTCTTCAAGAAGATTTCGGATGATGAACAGTTTCCATCAGATTGGAAAAAAGGATACCTCATCAAAATACCAAAGAAAGGCGATCTCAGCAAGTGTGAGAACTACAGAGGCATCACTCTTCTTTCAATACCAGGCAAAGTTTTCAACAGGATATTGTTAAACAGAATGAAGGACTTCGTAGACACCCAACTTCGAGACCAACATGCTGGATTTCGCAAGGATAGATCGTCTACCGACCAAGTTACTACATTACGGATCATTGTGAAGCAATCAACTGAATGGAACTCACCACTCTACATCAACTTCATCGACTACGAGAAAGCATTCGATAGCGTGGACAGGAAAACACCGTGGAGGCTTCCTCGACACTTCGGTGTGCCTGAGAAAATAGTTAACATCATACGGAATTCTTATGACGGATTCAACTGCAAAGGGACAGCTAACAGACTCTTTCGAGGTGAAGACCGGTGTAATGCAAGGTTGCTTACTCTCACCCTTTCTCTTTCTCCTGTTGATCAACAGGATTATGAAGACGTCGACATCTGAAGGGAAGCACAGTATTCAATGGACAGCAAAGACGCAGCCGGACGATCTGGGCTTCGCAGATGATCGGGCTCTTCTAGCTCACACGCAACAACTAATGCAGGTGAAGACGACCAGTGTAGCAGCAGCCTCTGCAGCACTAGGTCTCAACATACATAAAGGAAAAAAGCGAAATTCTCCGATGCAACACAACATCCACCAACCAAATCACTCTTGATGGAGATTCTTCGGAGGATGTTAACACCTTTACATATCCAGGCAGCAACATCGAAAATCAAGGTGAATCCGATGCAGATGTGAGGGTGCGGATTGGCAAAGCGAGGGCTGCATTTCTACAGTTGAAAAATATCTGGAAATCCAAACAACTTTCAACCAAAATGAAAATCAGGATTTTCAATACAAATGTCAAGACAGCTCTACTGTATGGATCGGAAACTTGGAGAACTACGAAAGGCATCATCCAGAAGATACAAGTGTTTGTTAACAGTTGTCTAAGCAAAAAACTTCGGATTCGTTGGTCAGACACCATCAGCAACGACGTTCTTTGGAAGAGAACAAACGAGATTCGAGTGTAGGAGCAAATCAGGAAGAAGCGGTGAAAGTGGATAGGACACACACTACGAAAAGCACCTAACTGCGTCACAAGACAAGCACCCAATTGGAACCCTCAAGGCAAAAGGAAAAGAGGTAGGCCAAAGAACACATTAGCCGAGAAATAGAGAAAGATATGAGAAGAATGACAAAAACTGGACAGAACTGGAGAGGGAAGCCCAGGACAGAGTTGGTTGGAGAAAACTGGTCGGTGGCCTATGTTCCACTTGGGATAACAGGCGTAGGTAAGTAAGTAAGTAAGCTGTATCAAGAGGAAATAATATTCACAATATTACAAGTATAGTTTTAATGAAGAATGTCAGCTAGCTAGGGAATTTCCTACAGTTAACATTCAGTCATTGATAGGCAAAAATCAAATTAATTACTGTATGTGAAAGAAATAATAACCAAAATATCTATGAAATATATTTTTTTATTTTTAACAAATGACATCTATCAATTAAATTTAAAAAATAACATTATTAAAATGTATAATATAACAGTTCAATTGGTCAATATAATATATCGTAATATGACTCCTAATTCATATAGGTGAACAGAAAATTCACATTGTCATTCATTGTAAAACTATTAATCATGTTAAACGCAATCAACGCAATTCAATGGAAGATTGTGTTGTATTGGTTTTTAGTTTAATTTTTTTCACTTGATTTGTTTTAATAATAAAATAAATAATGGCAATAATTGCTAGAATTAGTAATATACCAGCGAATACAATTAATGCAATAGTTCCAGGATGTACTATTGGAAACAAAAAAGAAAGTAGCAAAAACATAATTATAATACTAATCAATATCGTTAAAACAGGATTGAACAAGTACGAAAGATATGGACAGCTTTGAATTCGATCGCTTGTTATAGTGTGATGAGTGTTCAATTATCAAAAGATCTAAATGGTTATCTGATCAAATAAATTCAATTTATAATGAATGTCGGAACTGACAGTCAACTAACTCATAGTCATACTGATTAGCTTATAAACCATAGACTTAACATACTTGTTGTTACATCAGTTTAATCAGTTTATCATTGAAGATTCTTTCTATATTTTTGAACAATTGAGATGTAGTGAGTTCAAGGTAAAATATTGCTATGCAGAGAGATGAAGGTTTCCTATGAGACGAGAGATTCGTTGTGAACATTGTGGATGGTTTAGCATTACTATGATAGGTTTGTTTTGCTAATAGTCCATATACAAGTTTAGTTAGTAGGGTGACTGATTTCATTGGTGCTGGGGTTGTCTTGCAATATTCCCGAAGGCGCTTTATTGCTAGTAATGAGTTTGACAGTCATGTAAGTGGGATAGTTCAAATTGGCCTGTTCATGCTGTGAATATTGATTGACGCGATTATGGATTGGAAATAATCACTATATGTTTTGGTGTATATAAATGGTGTGGGGGGGGCAACCGAATTGTATTTAACGAAAATTACAGAGTTACTCAGTAAAATTGGAAAACCATATCGTAAATCGTTAATTTGCAAATTATCAGTCCATCCTATCGAACTGGACTGTTCCTGTTGCAAAACATCAATCCATTGTCACTATTCATGCGTTTCATACAAATTCCATTGTGTTCCAACTCTTCCTTTCTTAATATTCCCCCATGTTCTGCTGCCAGAAATTACGTTGACACTCACGTCATATACTACTTATAAGTAGCTCACACCACAGGTCCACCTTCATGGTGTCAGGTACCTATGTGGTTGCGCCACAGGATTGCGCAGTGTTATTCACGTTGTAGTGTTAGCACATGGACTGGACTGGTTCTAATGAAAACCAATGTAAAATTACTCATGCCAACTGATGATGAATTCATGTATATATATTGTGACCAATTAGTCTGTTCTGTTATATCGTAATAGGAACTGCCGGAACTAATCAATTCTTAGTAGATTGTTATGTATAATCTATCATAAGTTTTCAGTTAAGACATTAACTTCTCCTGTTTGATTTACTATTCTTTAATTGGTTGGCAGTTTATTTATTTACAGTCTCTTATACTTATGGCTGCTTTTGCTTTATGAACAGTTCATGTCATCATTTTACGGTATGATGACTTCTGATATGTGCGTATATAAATGGCTTCTGTTTGAAATGTGTATATTGTAAAGGATTATTATTAGTTTTGGGCTCAAAGCGTGGGCAAAGATAGAAAGCAGTGAATAGTGAATCAATAAGAGCCTAGCTGTTGTTGTCTCAAGGTGAATAGTACTGATTAGATGTGTGATTAGCCAAATCAGAGATATTAAGCTATAGAGTGAATATCAGACTTAATTATAATCGGTATTTTGATTAGTAACTGAGTGCGTGGAATTAACTAGCAGTCAAAAGACTTAATATTTACCAGTCGAAATAAATGTCTTAATGTCAATTGGTCAATTATGGTAAATGAACTGCCTAGAACGTCTGTGTGTTTCTTCCGAACTTTCTAGAACAGAATTGCACAGTGATAAGAAATTAACGATATGAATGACAAAGAAGTCGAAATGATATGTGAACAATGAGAATAAAAGAGACTAAACACTGAGAATATTACTTCAGACAACAAAGTGACATTGTGCGCACAAAAAAATAAAGAAAATCAAAATCTAGAGTAAGATAAGCATTGAATGATCCTATACTGTTATAACTGATTCTAAGCTACTCAACGTATCCAGTCACATGGACTCCTACCCGGTAGTCTACACCTATCTACACGACTCAGAACAAGAGTCAGTTATTTCATGGACTAACTTCACATTTTGAATTTGTCCACCTATTATCCTTCTTATTTTAACTACCAACAAATATCAAAATCGGTGATGGCTTAGCCTATGCATCACATACTTCAAACATCTCAATCGATTAATATTCACAATCTCACCAAACGAATGATTATTTTTGCCTCATCTGGTGTGTTCAACATTCACATTGTTCACTGGATTGTACTTTTTGATGATTCATGAAATTTAATCCAGTTGAAAAATAATTTCTAATAACAGATAAACATTGACCGGGGCAATCAGTATCGATCAATAAGTTTGGTGTTTTGATAAAACATAATACGAAGCTTCAAACTAAATGTTAATGATTGCTGAATTCAAGTAACAATTTAATTGATTACAAATTTGATCAAAAATAAATTCACTGTTATGCTTTTGGAACATTATAAAATTAAATAACCTTTGAGTATTTAATTTAACTACAAAAATATTGTTTTATCATCTAATTTAGACGTGAATATATTTCACTACTCATAGAGGAATAATTGTCAAATGTAATATTTCTTATCATAATTTTTAGAACTTACATGAACACTCTTTCCCAGGATCAGATGGATTCACATCTTTCCACATTGGATCACATGTACATGTTACACCATTAGCAGTATTTCGACATGATGCATGTTGACCACAAACTAATTGAGTATTTGAACAAGTAATCACTGGAGAAATACCTATTCAGACAATGAAATATATAGTAAGATAAATTAATCAAAGTGTATTTATATCAACATTGTGACTTGCCAAAATTCAGTGGTAAATATTTATCTTGAAAAGAAATCTATTCTTCTAAACCTATTGAGCAAATCAAAGACATTTTCTTGGATAACTAGTTAACACTTGTTAAAAAATGATCAATACTCAATTTCAGTTTGAAATATAAACGTTAAGATTAAAATGTATTGAATGAAATATTATTCGAAATAAACTGAATAGGTGTATTCTGGTTTTAAATAGTATTTGTAATTTAAGGGATTATATATATAATTCTTCGTGCAGCCCCTCTGAGGCTACTACCGGTCCCGAACAAGGGTAAAGGAGGAGGGTTAGGCATTGGGTCGGCTATCCCATCCCGTAGAAAATTAACTAGCTAAAAGAACGCTAACTAGACAAATAATTCAAACCATTTTAACTCTGCCCTGGGAGTTACGAGGTCTTCATTCAGAAGAGTTATAACGTCTTATGATGAAAGCCAAGTTCGTTCGGAAGTCACGAGGTCAATACCTCTTCATCATCATTACGCTTGAAGTTCACTCTCAAGTACAGGTCAATTAAACATTCTATCAGATGTGTAATTATTGACAGATATAACAGACTGAATGAAAAATATCAATATGAATTATTTCTTTCCTGATGTAAGCTTAAACTACTATCTTATCGATCATTTATTTAGTTATAGACTGTATGTCTCAGTTAAATTTAAGGCGATAATTTCAGTTGTGATGATGTGTACAAAGAGTTGATGCATACAACTAGTTTACTTAGGAAATATCGTTATTCTCAATAAACAAACAAAGAAACAAGTAACACATGTATAAGTGTATCTTTTAGAATTAAGAGGAAATATTTGAATTCCTATGAACTGATACAGTGTTTCTCAAAGAAAGGTAAAATAAAAGTACTCTACTACCGTTATAATACAATAATAACAGGACTTAAGCTCGAAATTATACTACCACTTGACTGGCTACTCGAATTATCGGCTTTATATTAGACTGAGACCACGTTATAATATTAGGCATCCGATTCACTGCTAACAGGAAGAAAAACCCATAATATCTGTTAGACAACGCTTGATTCATTCAATACAGTCACAGATAGTCTACATTCTATCATGTCCCTAGTAGAAATCAATAATACGAAGGAAATCACACAATTACTAGCCAATAAACTGAGTTATCTGTCTACCAAAGCGTAAATGGCCAATTAAATCAGTATTAAAACAGAATGATATGTGAACTTTTAAACAAAGCATTTGACATTTTGAAGAAAAATCTAGATTTTTTGATGTATTGAGTTGACATTATAGTCTAATTACAAACTGGAAGAAACCACAATGCATTGATTAACACTTTTGATTATTGTTCTCTACTTCAGATACTATCAATCAAGTTTCAAACACACACAAGTTTCATCTAATCACCACCAATCTATTATTAAGTATATTTATCGATTCGTTTGCTTCTGTAAGACTAGGGAATATAAGAAGTTGAATGCGCACTCTATTCAAAAGAACGTAAGAACATTATCTGGTCTGGATGAGAACTGCTGGCAATGGATCAATAAGAATCTGTCACCACCGGGTATTCAATCAAAACAAACTCAACACTCATAGTCATCTACAAGGTGAGTGCAAAAAATTGATAAAGGCAGTGTACTTCTTACTTTTATTGGTACATTTAAAATGCATTTAGAAAATCTATCAATTTGTATACACAGTATTTTATTACAAAACAATTAGCATTCATTCTTATCTCTTTTCTAGTTGACCTAAAATGACTTTATATTCTCTCTGATTACATTTCACTACAACTTTGACATTTTATCTTTATCGAATAAATTACACAATCCTTGTTTTTTTGTAAATATTAATTTTTATTGTATCTTTTTGGTGAATTGTCAAGCTGTTAAAAACTATATTCTTTTCATTAAAGGTGAGATGGTGTGGTGGCCAATTCCAATGTGTTCTTAAAGCTTTGTAATTCGCTCGTCTAGGCAATCGTCACCAAATAGCGCCTGACGGTTATAAATCAAAAGGCAAATACGAAGTGTTGAATTCGTTTATTTTTAGCACACCACAAAATGGAATAGCAGACTATTAGCAGGCAGGGCAGACATACTTGCGAGCGAATTAGAGAATGGGCGAATGAATTAATGCGAATCAAATGGTTATATATATTTTACATAGTAAACTGTCTGAGTCATCGAGATATTTAAGATTAATCTCGAAAAAGCCAATAGGATGAATATTCGCGTAGGTGATAAGCAATGCTCAGTCGTACAAGCTCATACAAACCAGACAATAATGAAAGAAACCAATGGTACATATAAGATTTTGCTATGCCAATGACTTGGTTAAATAAGTTGATCGAAAGGCTTAACCAAATTAAATATAAGCGTACTCAAATTTATGTGGAGGTATTAAATGTTGAAGGTATTAAATGGGAAACTCTAGATTTACGTTTGGCTCTAGTCAACGATGATCAGCAAGGAATACCTGTGATCTTAAGGGAACTAGTGCTCCCTGGTGGATTCAATCCGATGTCACTAAGTTTCACAGTTATACATTAATACTGAGCTATCTGGGTAGCGAGTGACCTCTTGCAGGACTAAGATGTATTTACGATTGATTTACTGTTTACAATTAAAGGTGCATCTTGCTGATATGCACTAAACAGCAAGAAATCTTGGATCAGGGTTTCTTTTCCACCACCCTCGATCACCGCCGACCAGTGAGTTAAATTCAAATATCATGCAAAGCGAATTGTAAAACTACCTTCATATCCTACTCATAACGTTTAAAACAATGGCAGAAATTTACTTTACACTATCATAGAGTAAAAATGATAATGTTAAACATATAAGATACCGAGTCCATTCTTTGTAGATTGTATGCAACGGGCAAATTGACGCTATCTTTAAATCTCAACCCTCAATTCTGAAAGATATTTTAACCTAGTGACCTCACACTTGATGCATGAACCGATCAGTTATCCACTCTTGTATTGTTGAGTGAAATTTATCCATTCAAATCAATTTGACATGATAGTTGTAGTCAGTTTATGATGAAGGTCATAATCTTAAACTTAAAATCCGAACCTAAACTATCGAACTCTATCTAGTAACGATGTGGGTACTGTTCTAAGGGTTAGAGAAGTTGGACAATCTATTATTATAAGTACGAGTTTATACGGTGTTGGTTTTTTTTTTTCATTTATCGATGGGAGTAACCTTTAAACTATATCAATAGGTTTATTGATTATGTGCAATCTATTTATACTGCTTGCTATATTATAGTTTCCTCTTGTCTAGACTGCAAGAGCTGTTTTCTGATTGGTTAAGAGCTGGTTAGAAATTTGTCGCGGTTGTTTTAAGCTCTTACCTAATGTTAACTTTTACTCAATTAAATTGTGACAATATTCATGTCGGACGGATTAGAACATTGCACCATATTGTTGAATATGGTGAACCTACAAACAATTAGTAGTAAGTGCAAGTACTTGTAGGTGTATTGACCAGCTGTAAAAACAAATTAATGTTACCGTAGTACTATCACACAGTTTGTCCCAGCTAATGAACATTATCTGTCCGAATCATTATTCACATACCTTTCGACTTTGTCTATTATTTGCTCATATCTTTGGTTGTTTTCGTTCGAGTGTAAATGTGTGTGTGTTCATTCTTACTTCCCTCATTACATGTCTAGCCTATTTGTCTGACTATCAATGGTTGGTCAAACTTCATCATATTGAGTTGGCTCACTCATATTCTACGCATCGAATGAATTAGTGAACTTCTAATTGAATAATAAACGGTGTTAATATATATGTAGTTTCTGATTAACTGTAAAATTAAAAACCCAATAACATAATGAATAGACTCATAGATTCCTGTAGGATAAACTACATTTTCTGATTGTTCGAAGAGATAATTTTCCAATCAGCGACAAGAAAGAGGTTAAAAACCTTTTGTGAATCATTTCAATCCATCAACTACATATGTTTATATCTTTAAATAAACAATAAAATCAATAGAAACGAAAATACGCGGTATTTCTCTTTTCAAAACTATGAGATTTGAAATAACTTACGTGTTGATTCTAAATTATTTAATAATGCACCAGATGTTTTATTAATTTGATTATAACCAGTAGTTAACAATTCAGTAAAGTGTTCTTGACTCAATTGTGAACCGGTTAATGTTTGTAATTCAACATTTGCACTACCTTGTACACCATCTGTCGATGTACTGTTGGTTACAGCACTGACAATTTGTCGTTTACCTCGAATAATTATGGTAACTCGTATAAAAATGACTGTTGTACATCTGGCACCTTGAAATATTGGTGTATTTGCATTCAACAAACTGCTTATAATCTGACAATAAGAAAAAACAAATATAGAATCATGAAAATATCAGTTAAGATATATAAGAAAAAGGTTTAAGTGGAACGTTAATAAGGTTAAATGGTCTTGGAAATTGCTCATTTCAAGTTACAGATGTTGATGAGATTAAAGTGAAAACAATTAGTCAGGCATAATTTCTGTTGATTATTGAAACATGTCTGGTAGGACTTAAAAAAGTTATATATCAAGACAACAAAGTAACTAATGGCATATTAAGTGGTCCTAGTGTAATATCATGTGTGGTGCGCGCTACTTATAAGTAGTATACGACGCGAGTGTAAACGTAATGTCTGGCAGCAGAAGATGGAGGAAGATCAAGAAAGGAACAGCGGGAACAAAATGGGATTTGTATGAAACGCATGAATAGTGAAATGTCAGACTATGGATTGATGATGGATTGAAGATTTGCAAATTAACCGTTTACGATATGGTTTTCCTATTTTACTGATTAACTCTGTGATTTGCGATAAATACAATTCGGTTACCCTCACCTGTGTTCTCCTTCACTACACAGCTAATCAAATCCCAAGTCTATTGTCTAATGATAGGGTGCCAATACCAAGAGTATAAGATTTTAGTTTAGATTCTATGTATACCCATAGATGTAAACTGTTAAGACGTCTCAAATTTTGGACAAATCACTTTCAGATACCTGATATTTCTCAATAGATCTTCATTTAACGTTAATTTATTGTGCAAAACCTACTTCGAAGCACAATGAAAAGCTTTATTAAGCTAAAACACAAACATCAATAGTATACAGATATAGTAAACTTTAAAAGTGCGGAACTATGAATGATCAGCGTTCTGTGAAAATTGTCATTCTAATAATTTTCTGATCTAAAGTTATTTCGTCAATGAGACAGTATTCCTGATATTCTTTTTGAAGAAGTAAATTTCAATTCAACTGGTGAGTTATAGAAAAAACCCTATCATCATAAATGTAAGCTATTTTCCATTGTAAACTGGTCATTAATTTGTGTTATGCAATCATTCATTCAAAGAGAAAGGTTTCACTCATTACTAATTTAACAATAATTCTAAAAATACTTAACACTGGAACTGATTGAATGTAGTAAACAATTCATTTCTAATTCATTAATCATAGCTAACCAATGCATGTTTAGTCAGATTGTTGAACTAATACACATGTGAAGATAGGACGTAGTGATGTATAGCTTCTCATGTAAAATTGAAATTATAATTTTCCTATTGTTATCTAAAGCGTTTCAGACCGTGGGATAGAAAAAATATACACATTCTTGAATTATAATATTTTATTCGTTTTGATATTGAATAACAGTGTTTTTTTTTAATTCCCATTGATATGATTCATTTGATGTGCATACTTACATCCCAGTAATGAGTTTAAAACGAACGTTCGAACTAAGTAAATGTTGCTTTTTAAACACATTGATGAGTCATCTATTCAACTACTCTGTTCAGATAATCACTGCTGCTCTGTACAGTGTGTGTGTGTGTGTGTGGCTGACCTAGATTTGTTAAGGATATACGGTGGATTTGAAGAATTACAATTGGTCAGTTTTTTCATTGACATGAGTGTTTTTACACATTTGAGATCACCAATCAATCATTGTTAGACCATCATTAGAAACCTGGAAGCACTGAACGGCCGTTTCGTCCTAGTATGGGACTCATCAGCAGTGTGCATCCAAGACTCCTACACCTCGCAGGATTCGAACCCGGGACCTTCGGTATTGTGCACGAACGCCTAACCATCGGACCACTGGGCCGGCATCCGGTATCTTGAACAGATTGTTTTAATATTGTCATTCAACTGAAAATAATATAAACTTTTACAAACAAATTGTTTATCAAATATTTTCTAATTTCCTAAAGATCCCATTAATCTGTTGATCGAAATATTTTGAAGATTTGACATTTTCAATCAGGGAAAAGTATGTGTCTTAAAAACAGAATATTTAATTTAGTATTTGAAATGATTGTTCAGTTTGTACGTTGTATTAGTTAAAGATTTATTTCAATTAGAGTGTTATTACAACAAACCCCTGTAGTATTGAACAAAATTTTGTTCCCTAGTATCAGACTCCTCCTCCTCATCATCATTTCACATCAAGGATCCAGAAGGAGTCGAAAAAATGAGATTAAAGTCTCGCAGAGAATGACTAACCTATAGGTTAGCATCCAACGAAACTAATTTCCAGGTTCAACTTGTTTACAAAGAGTAACTAGCAACAAATACTATCAATGATAGCTGTTTCGTTGTGAACTCTAAGTGAGATCAGTTTGCTGACCAATACAATGTAGAGCTATTTAAAACAATTAATTTTTTTCTCAGTATTTTTGTTTGTTGAGAGCTTATTGTTGGGGATGTTAGATCCTCAGATCTCGCTTGATAAATGCCTTAATTTCTGGATTTCATGTTTGCGAGCATGGGCTGATCATTTGACCTTAAGATTTCGTTTCTCACCAGGAAAATCCTTGGCTGGAATTGACTGCTGTGTATTTTAGTGTGCTATTTTCGTAACTGTCCCAAGGACGTTTCTACGATGTATAAATAAACGAGATTTGTGTGTTTGATTGCATTGTACTCGCTGAATGTTTGTCGGATATACTTTCTACACTGTATCATTGCTTTTCATTAGTCAATTATTCAGGGTAGCCTACCTGGACGCTGGTTTATTGTCTCGTTCTAGTTTATTGATTAAGGTGAACCCGTAATAGTTTCAAGCATACTTAATGACGAACCTAACACTTATGTAGAGTGAGTAGAGAGCGAGAGTGAGACAGAGTGGGATTAAACTAACATGAAAAACACTCATATCATAAGTCATTATGTAATACCAATTAGTAGTTGAATACATACCAGATTACAGAATATCGCAGATAAATCAATATAAAGCTTCGATTGAACATTGTTATAATCATCAGACCATGGAATTACTCCTGCACTGTCTGGTTTGTACAAAACACTTTTTACATTAAACTGTGTAAGCACTAGAGAGAATGAAAAAAAATGGAATTAGTGGAATAAAAAAACTTTTTAACTAAACTAAAATATGATTAGTCAAGGCAATTTTTGTTATTTTAAACTAATCAGATATTGATTAGATAATAAGTGGACACAGCTGACTAAGAAATAGCTAGTGTTTTATAACGAATGAGATACACTATTGGTTTGGTCAGTAAACTTTCTTTTCCCCCTATATACCTGGTTAGGCTGGTTTGTATGACAGTACTCCATATCAGTATCAAGATTTAACATTTAATACCACCAAGAATTTAAAGTTATCATGAACCAATACAGTTTAGTGAACCATTGAAAATCTATGACCAGTACGGTTCATCGGGTTTAAGAAAGGTGCCTACCAAATACAATGGTTAATGGCCGTGTAAAATCATGGATTGATTGATTTTAGACTTGTAAGCTTTTGGATACCATCTCAGTGGTGTAGAAAAGATGCGGGACCATTATTTATTTTCAATCCAGGTGATTGGATCGATATCCGATTCTCTGTAAAATTGAGAAAGCTATAGGAAATCTAAAACAAGGGAGAGCAGTGGGTCCTGACGGTTGACCTCGAAAATTTATAAGGATAATAGTCCAGGTTTAGCGAGTAGATTGACTGAAATATTACCTAGAATCTGTTACCCGAACGTAAACAATTTGCCTGGTCTGAATCAGTGATTTTCCCGATCTATAAGGAAGGATGAAAGCCTTTTTGTGACAGTCACAGAGGAATCAGTTTAACCGATACAGTGTCCAAAATATTATCTTCAATAATACTTCGACGCCTAACTAGAGCTCTTGAAGAGCAGAATTAAGAAAACCAGACTGGTTTCCGACCTGGACGAGAATGTATAGACCAAATATTCACATTTCTCAGTTCTCGGAACATGGACACACCATTCGATTTCTCGTTATAGTTGCATTCCTTGACCTTAGGGCGGCATTTCAGTATGTCGATCGTGAGGTTCTTTGACAGTATCTGTCATTAAAAGGTGTACCAAAGAATTATATTAACATCATACAAGCTCAATACTCAAACCATTCCGGTCGTATTAGAGCTTATGACGAACTGTCATCAGAATTCATTACTTCAAGTGGTGTCCTTCAGAGATATTCATTTTATTTATTCTTGTTTAACTTTGTCACAGAAATACTTTCAGAGATAACAGTATGTTCGTTTGAATTTTCAGGATATGATCCTTTACCGGGAGTTTCACATGTTGAATTTGAATATGCCGATGACATAGTTCTATTTTGTGAAGATGCTGTCAAAGTTTAGAGTCTTCTGACCACCCTAAGCAACGATGCTATTCTCCCTCTCCACACACAGAATGTTGTTTCCCGATTGGCTTGTATCAGCCACTGAACTAGTGATGATAAGGAGTGAAGTATTTGAGCATATTGGCTGATTCACTTGTCTTGGGAGTCTCATCGGTTTCGATGGCCTGGTATCTGACGAAATCCGAGCACGTATACAGAAGGCTCGACTGGCTTTTACCAACTTATGGAGTCACTTATGGAGTAAGAAAGATATCTGTCTGCCAAACAAAGGATGGGTTTAATGCGCAACCGTTCGCTCCGTCCTATTTTTATGGCTGTGTGACATGGATTATGCTCCTTAAATAATATCTTCAAACCATAATCTTTCCGATCACTACTCATACTTCTGTTACATCTACCGCCATAGAAACTCAATCGACAAGTGCATCTCTGTGCTATTGTGGGACGTAAACTTGAAATGATGTCTGTAAGTACGAAGTTATACTCTAACTGACTGAATGGCTGAATACTGATCCTGAGTAAAGTAATCACAAGTTCTTATTAACACTCATTTTATAATGTTCGAAAACTGTTCAGCGTTGGTAACTGAGTGATGAAAATCACTGAATAGTGTGAAATTATTAAAGATTTGATTAGATATGAAGTAGAGTGACAGTATGTTGTATACGAAATCGATCTATTAAACATTTACTGAATGCTATTTTACACATCTTGTAGTTGATCTGCAAAATGTGATCATGAAGACTGGTGAAAAGCAAATCAAATTATTTTGATGCAACAGATGATGGCTTAATAAACCAGATAATTTTTTCGGATGTAATCACGCTACTTAAAATTATCAATCAGTAGCCTAAGACTCCAGAAAAAAAAATTAGTGGGGTAGTCCTCTTGCACATTTTGAAGAGAAAAATAAGGAAAGCATAGATTAGCGGTAAATTAGAGGAGATGAAATTGCAATAGAATAAACCGGATAAAAGAGTCACATACCTCTACCAATAAAAACGGACTCAGTTGTGGCGGTAGTTGTTGACAAGCCAGTGGAAATGTTGGTCACTAAGTCAGGAGGACTAGAAGATGATGAGAAAATATCATCAGATTTCAATGTCGAAATGGAAGAAGTAGTTATATAAGATGTTGTAGTATTATCTGAGGAAATTTCAATACCACTAGTTGTAGTCAATATACCAGAAATAGACGAATATTCCGAAACTGATACAGAAAGAACTACAAAATAGAAATAAACAGAAGTTATGAGTAAAATAAAATAATAAAAAATGAAAATTTGAATTTACAAAGTAGAAGCAAAATCAGTTGACGCCGAAAGTAAAAAAAACAGAATATGCAAAGAAACATAAAAAAAGCTGAGAAAAACAGATATAAAAGGTATAAGAGAGAGAAAGATATTAGGAAAAGAATCGAGAAAAACAAAAAAAGAAGATATATAAAAAAATTCAGAGAAGGGTATAATTTCCAGATACTAAAAATCAACAACAATCAGATCAAACAGGATAGAAACGAAAACATACAAGAAACAACTGGAAGAAATATGGAGGCAATCTGACGACCTATAAAAAGATGCGCAGCGAACGGAATAAAAAGAGGAGCTCTCCAAAAAAAATATTATCATAGAAACACACACACACACACACACATCACACATGCACACATCACACGTCCCATCCTCTCCCTCATCATCCCACATCCCTGTGACACTGTCTACAATCAGTGTGAACCTCTGCTTGCAGGCACTGCACCACCGACGACGATGATGACCACGCCAATGAGAAAGCTGTCAGTCGTGGTGGTGATGACGACAATGGTGAAGACGATCCATCACGTTGATCAGCGTCAATCACACGCTCTCGCCACTGACCACCACCTTCACCATCGTCACAGTCGCATTGCCAACACTTCTCAATGCAATCGGAGTAGGTGAGTCGGTGAGGCGATCTGTCAATCAAGCAAACTACCAACCATCCAGCCAAACAACCAACCAACCAATCAATCAATCAGTGAATCAATCAACCAGTCGATGCATCGATCGGTGAGACAGTCAATCAATGCACTCAACACAAGCACTCATGTCATGTGAACACGTGTGGAATGAGGTGTGTGAAGAGGTGTGTGGAGGACATTTGATGTCTTGTAAAACAATGCGAACCTACCGGAAGTAGTTGCGGCAGTAGTTGATGACGGACTGGTCATGCTGATGGTGGCCAATGTTGGCGTCGTCATCATGGTGGTCGCCGGCGGCGTCAATGTTGAGGCGGTGGTGGTGGTCGCGTTGGTGCTGGTGCTCGAGCTCGCGCTCGTGCTTGCGCTCGTCGTGTTCGGTTGAGTGAGTTCTGTCGCCACACTTGTGTCTGTGTGCTCGACGCTGCTCGTCCCAGCCGTGACACTTGTCCGTGTGTCTGTACGGAAGCAGAGAAAACACACACACACACACAAACAACCACAATTAATACACTCGTCACAAATTCACATCATCTCCACATCGTTTGGCAATACGCCACTCGCATCACCGCGTCACGTCACACAACCAATACAACTATCAATGCAACACTAAATACCCATACTAATACCACCGTCTCCACCACCATCTTCACACCAATATCTACGTCCACACAAATTACAACACACATCACAACAACCACGAATGCATCGACCACTGCAACACCATCTACAACTCCGTGACAACAATCAACACAACGCCGTCACGCCAAATCACAATTGCCCATATAAACACACACACACACACACACATCACACATGCACACATCACACGTCCCATCCTCTCCCTCATCATCCCACATCCCTGTGACACTGTCTACAATCAGTGTGAACCTCTGCTTGCAGGCACTGCACCACCGACGACGATGATGACCACGCCAATGACAATGCTGTCAGTCGTGGTGGTGATGACGACAATGGTGAAGACGATCCATCACGTTGATCAGCGTCAATCACACGTTCTCGCCACTGAACACCACCTTCACCATCGACACAGTCGCATTGCCAACACTTCTCAATGCAATCGGAGTAGGTGAGTCGGTGAGGCGATCTGTCAATCAAGCAAACTACCAACCATCCAGCCAAACAACCAACCAACCAATCAATCAATCAGTGAATCAATCAACCAGTCGATGCATCGATCGGTGAGACAGTCAATCAATGCACTCAACACAAGCACTCATGTCATGTGAACACGTGTGGAATGAGGTGTGTGAAGAGGTGTGTGGAGGACATTTGATGTCTTGTAAAACAATGCGAACCTACCGGAAGTAGTTGCGGCAGTAGTTGATGACGGACTGGTCATGCTGATGGTGGCCAATGTTGGCGTCGTCATCATGGTGGTCGCCGGCGGCGTCAATGTTGAGGCGGTGGTGGTGGTCGCGTTGGTGCTGGTGCTCGAGCTCGCGCTCGTGCTTGCGCTCGTCGTGTTCGGTTGAGTGAGTTCTGTCGCCACACTTGTGTCTGTGTGCTCGACGCTGCTCGTCCCAGCCGTGACACTTGTCCGTGTGTCTGTACGGAAGCAGAGAAAACACACACAAACACACAAACAACCACAATTAATACACTCGTCACAAATTCACATCATCTCCACATCGTTTGGCAATACGCCACTCGCATCACCGCGTCACGTCACACAACCAATACAACTATCAATGCAACACTAAATACCCATACTAATACCACCGTCTCCACCACCATCTTCACACCAATATCTACGTCCACACAAATTACAACACACATCACAACAACCACGAATGCATCGACCACTGCAACACCATCTACAACTCCGTGACAACAATCAACACAACGCCGTCACGCCAAATCACAATTGCCCATATAAACACACACACACACACACATCACACATGCACACATCACACGTCCCATCCTCTCCCTCATCATCCCACATCCCTGTGACACTGTCTACAATCAGTGTGAACCTCTGCTTGCAGGCACTGCACCACCGACGACGATGATGACCACGCCAATGACAATGCTGTCAGTCGTGGTGGTGATGACGACAATGGTGAAGACGATCCATCACGTTGATCAGCGTCAATCACACGTTCTCGCCACTGAACACCACCTTCACCATCGACACAGTCGCATTGCCAACACTTCTCAATGCAATCGGAGTAGGTGAGTCGGTGAGGCGATCTGTCAATCAAGCAAACTACCAACCATCCAGCCAAACAACCAACCAACCAATCAATCAATCAGTGAATCAATCAACCAGTCGATGCATCGATCGGTGAGACAGTCAATCAATGCACTCAACACAAGCACTCATGTCATGTGAACACGTGTGGAATGAGGTGTGTGAAGAGGTGTGTGGAGGACATTTGATGTCTTGTAAAACAATGCGAACCTACCGGAAGTAGTTGCGGCAGTAGTTGATGACGGACTGGTCATGCTGATGGTGGCCAATGTTGGCGTCGTCATCATGGTGGTCGCCGGCGGCGTCAATGTTGAGGCGGTGGTGGTGGTCGCGTTGGTGCTGGTGCTCGAGCTCGCGCTCGTGCTTGCGCTCGTCGTGTTCGGTTGAGTGAGTTCTGTCGCCACACTTGTGTCTGTGTGCTCGACGCTGCTCGTCCCAGCCGTGACACTTGTCCGTGTGTCTGTACGGAAGCAGAGAAAACACACACAAACACACAAACAACCACAATTAATACACTCGTCACAAATTCACATCATCTCCACATCGTTTGGCAATACGCCACTCGCATCACCGCGTCACGTCACACAACCAATACAACTATCAATGCAACACTAAATACCCATACTAATACCACCGTCTCCACCACCATCTTCACACCAATATCTACGTCCACACAAATTACAACACACATCACAACAACCACGAATGCATCGACCACTGCAACACCATCTACAACTCCGTGACAACAATCAACACAACGCCGTCACGCCAAATCACAATTGCCCATATAAACACACACACACACACACATCACACATGCACACATCACACGTCCCATCCTCTCCCTCATCATCCCACATCCCTGTGACACTGTCTACAATCAGTGTGAACCTCTGCTTGCAGGCACTGCACCACCGACGACGATGATGACCACGCCAATGACAATGCTGTCAGTCGTGGTGGTGATGACGACAATGGTGAAGACGATCCATCACGTTGATCAGCGTCAATCACACGTTCTCGCCACTGAACACCACCTTCACCATCGACACAGTCGCATTGCCAACACTTCTCAATGCAATCGGAGTAGGTGAGTCGGTGAGGCGATCTGTCAATCAAGCAAACTACCAACCATCCAGCCAAACAACCAACCAACCAATCAATCAATCAGTGAATCAATCAACCAGTCGATGCATCGATCGGTGAGACAGTCAATCAATGCACTCAACACAAGCACTCATGTCATGTGAACACGTGTGGAATGAGGTGTGTGAAGAGGTGTGTGGAGGACATTTGATGTCTTGTAAAACAATGCGAACCTACCGGAAGTAGTTGCGGCAGTAGTTGATGACGGACTGGTCATGCTGATGGTGGCCAATGTTGGCGTCGTCATCATGGTGGTCGCCGGCGGCGTCAATGTTGAGGCGGTGGTGGTGGTCGCGTTGGTGCTGGTGCTCGAGCTCGCGCTCGTGCTTGCGCTCGTCGTGTTCGGTTGAGTGAGTTCTGTCGCCACACTTGTGTCTGTGTGCTCGACGCTGCTCGTCCCAGCCGTGACACTTGTCCGTGTGTCTGTACGGAAGCAGAGAAAACACACACAAACACACAAACAACCACAATTAATACACTCGTCACAAATTCACATCATCTCCACATCGTTTGGCAATACGCCACTCGCATCACCGCGTCACGTCACACAACCAATACAACTATCAATGCAACACTAAATACCCATACTAATACCACCGTCTCCACCACCATCTTCACACCAATATCTACGTCCACACAAATTACAACACACATCACAACAACCACGAATGCATCGACCACTGCAACACCATCTACAACTCCGTGACAACAATCAACACAACGCCGTCACGCCAAATCACAATTGCCCATATAAACACACACACACACACACACATCACACATGCACACATCACACGTCCCATCCTCTCCCTCATCATCCCACATCCCTGTGACACTGTCTACAATCAGTGTGAACCTCTGCTTGCAGGCACTGCACCACCGACGACGATGATGACCACGCCAATGA